GACGTTGATTTTGATCTGTATATGTTCCTTGAAGCCTCAGGAACACAATGGAATAAGTATGGTGGCTTGAATCGACCTGGAAGTTGGTTTTCAGATTAGAGTTTTTTTGAGAAAATTCAAGTTTTGTTCTTGGCTTTTTTTGCGCAGCTTGGAGCTCTCTAGGATTAGGTTTGCATTCTATACTTATGTGTGAATGATTAGGTCAAGGAATTTGGTCAAAAAGATCCATGAATTAAAGGATTCAATATTTGATTTTTATGCCATGATTTTCCAAATCTTTTTCATGCTTTTTGGCTTCAATCACATCCAATCACCTTTGATTCTTTCCTAACCTGATTTGCACGAAATATTGAACCTATTCTATGCACAAAAAGATTCAAAACATTAGGTTTGGTATTTTTTTATATATTTTAATTAATTAAATGAATTTCTAGCATTTAAAAATTCAAATAAATAAAATAAAAATGATAAAAACTTCCCTTTGGGCCCAATGGTCGTGCACATGCCTTGGATGATGAATTGTGGAAGAAAAAGAGGCCCATTAGCATTTTTAGGTCATTTGAAGCAATGTTGACTTTTCAAAATATCCAAAAATTTCCCAACTTCCACAAGGCATATCTTGCTCAATGTTTAAGCTTTACTCATGTTCTTGGACATTTTGGAAAGGTCTTTGAGTCCTCTAACCAATGTATTTGGTCCCATGTCATTTTGATTTACCAATCTCAAGTTATGGCCTTTGACTTAAAGTCCCTTTTTGTTGACTTTTGAAAATGACCTATAATGTTGAAATTGATAACTTTTTGTGAGAGCATTTCTTGGACTTGAAGTGTGAAGAGGAGTTGTAGGAAATGTCTTTATCTTCAAAATGAGCTTTGGATGGAATTTTTCTGATAATCCATGTGAAAGTTATGCCCTGGTCAAGTTACAGTTGACTTTTTCAACTGTCCAAATATGGAAACTTTTGCATCTTGATGATTTTTGAACCAAGCTTTGAGAATCATGATCAAGCATTGATCAAATGATTTTTATGGCTTCAAAATGAGATGTTGACCAAAAATTTGAACTTTTGACTGTCAAATGACCATTTTGCCCCTACAGTTGACTGTAGTGCAATTAGGGTTTTGACTGTGCAATTTTGTGCTGACAGTCTTGAAACTTGGTATGAGGATGCTTGACCATATTTGTAGGCATGTGGGACTTGATTGGACCCTTGGAAACTTCATTTTCTTTGTCAGAACCAAAACCCTAATTTTGACTGTTAGGAGGCCCTTGAACTGTGCAACCCTTGGGGAGATTTTGTAGCATGCTTTTGACAAATCTTGAAGAATATGGGAGGGAAAATTTTGGGGTACAACAGATATTCCACCTCAATGGGAGTGCTGAACTCGACCAATAAATCTACTAAGACTTGAGATTTGATGTTGCTCTTGGGCACGAATGTTATGACATAATCGAATAACTCCACTGACCAAGAGAGAGGAGAATTGGATAAAGAGAACATTGATAGGTTTTGTGTTTTGTAATGAAATTCCTAACAAGGGTGTTTTTGACTTAGGTGCCCGACGAGGCTGAAATAAATGAAATGCTTGACGAGGCTTGATTCTGAAGGATGCCAGACGAGGCTGAGATTTTAAGGATGAATTTTTGTAGGGTGTCTGACGAGGATGGTTTTGTAAGGAAATGCCAGCCTCGTCCGATATTTCATTTGTTTCAGCCTTGTCAGGCACCTAAATAAAAAACACCCTCGTCCGAAATTTCCTTACAAAAACAACCTCGTTTGACACCCTACAAAAATCCAACCTTAAAATTCCAGCCTCATCTGGCATCCTTTAGAATCAAGCCTCGTCTGGCACCTTAAAGGACCTTACCTCGTCCGATAACCCTACCAAAAAACTGAACCCACCTTCCCATGACCTTTTTTTAATAAACAAAATCCTAAATTCAGATCACCGTGTCTCACAGATCATTCCCTGCATTCATAAATCTTGTCTTCCAACACTCGTTTGTGTTGATCTTATCTTCCAACACTTGTACGTGTTGATCATTAGTTTTTTCCAAACACTCGTCTGCATTGATCTTTAACTCTTTCCAGCACTCGTCCTTGTTGATTCTTAGTTATTTCCAACACTTGTCCGTGTTGACATCTAGTTCTTTCTAACATTCGTCCGTGTTGTTATCTTTCTAAAAATCGTATGCATTATTTTCTTTTTCCAGCACTCGTTCGTGTTAACCTTATCTTGCCAACACTCATTCATGTTGACCGTATCTTTCCAACGCTCGTACCTATTGATCATTAGTTCTTTCCAAACACTCGTTTGTGTTTATCTTTAATTATTTCTAACTCTCGTTTGTGTTGATCCTTAGTTATTTCCAACACTCGTATGTGTTGACCTCCAGTTCTTTCTAACACGCTTCGTGTTGTTATCTTTCTAAAACTAGTATGTGTTGTTTTCTTTTTCCAGCATTCTTCTGTGTTAACCTTATCTTCCCAACACTCATTCGTGTTGATCGTATCTTTTCAACACGCGTCTGTGTTAACCTCATTTATTTTTACACTCGTCTGTGTTAAGCATTATCTTTCAAACACTCTTTCGTGCTAACTTTATATTTCGAATACTCGTCCATGTTGATTTAACACTTGTCTGTGTTGACCTTGTTTGTCTAACACTCGTCCGTGTTAATCTTATCTTCTCAGACATTCGTCTGTGTTGACATTATCTTTTCAACACTTGTCTGTGTTGACCATATCTTTTCAGCACTCGTCCTTGTTGATATTACTTTTTAAAGCTCGTCTGTGTTGATATTTACTTTCAGACACTCGTCTGTGTCGATCTCATGTTAGTTCCACTTTTCAAACAAATTATTCATCAACCTATCTTGCCAATACTCGTTTGCATTGATAGCCAACACCCGTCTGTATTGAATTTTCTTTTCCCTAGCAAGTATTTCCATTAAAATTCCTTTGCAATCACCTCACAATCCCCATAGAACTCACTTTCCATTTCCATATCCCCAACAAGAATTCATGCTTTCATATCATATCATATCATCTCATTACATCAAGGGATAAAATTAGGGTCTTTTAGTATTTAATTACCTTCTGCCACTGATACCACGAAGACCAAAGTCATTCATGCTATATTTCTAAAGATAATTAAATAGGGGCATCTATCATACCCCAATTTTGCCCAACTTTTTTCATCTGATACATGTCAATTTGGCAAGTTTTGCATTTTTAACCGTATGTATTTCCATCATCAAATAAGTATTACATTTTTACTTTTTCTTTATTTATTTAGTACCTTAATCCTCACCATTTTGCATGAAAACTCCATTGATTCAAAATCAAGAGTTTAAAGTGTTCTTGAACCTCCATGAACAAAAGTGATTAAATGTGAATTAATTTTCATTTTTTTCTGTAAATTTTTGCTGTTTATTTTCTAATTTTTGAACATAGATATTTGTTTGTGAAATCGAGTAGATGAGTTTTCATTATTCATTTGCTTAATTCCGTGAAAAATTGAACAAGTAATGGCCAAACAAAAGAGGGTTGTTGCATTTTTTAATTATTTTTTTGTACATTTATGTTGTTTATTTGATGATTTTGAGCATATACTCTTGTTCATGAGATTGAGTAGATGGATTTTTTTATTCACTTGCTTAATTTCATGAAAAATTGAACAAATTATTGCCAAGAAAAGATGAACAATTATTGGTGTCCATAAGCAATTTTCATATTCAATCGTGGCCTGACACATGTCCACCTCCTTTTTTTTGTTTGGCTCTCAACTAGATCCGGACACTCTTTGGGTTTTATTTTTCTTCTGTTTTGCTTTTTACACATTGTTTGACTTAAAACCCCACTGTTTCTTATTTTTGCTTCTTTTCTTGTTTTACTAATTTCGTTTAACTATTTTATTTTCGATTTTGATTTTTTTTTTCATGTACCAATTAATTTTCAATTGCTCACATATTAAAAAATCTAGTATATTTAATTAATCAGTGATTCTTTTTTTCATACACCAATTATTTTATACATATTTGAGTTTTTAAAAATGGAACAATTTGGATACCAATTTAGTTTAAAAAAATGGTTTTTTTTTGTACATCCCTACTCTTTCTTCGTAAAATTAAATTATGTGTGACTACGACATATATTTTTTCAACCAACTTCAACAAGCTCAATTTTAATTGAAAATAATACATTATCGTTTATTGTCTTCAACGACAACCATACTCCATCATAAAGAATATAATCATTTGAATCTACATAACTCTAAGATTTTTCACATTATCTTCATCGACAATCATATACTCTCTCTAAAAAAATATATTTCACTTGAAATTAAATCATGTCAAAAATTTCACATGTCAAAAACCAAATTGAAACTTATGGTGCAACTTTCATGTTGACAGAAAATTCTTCAACCACCGACTTAATCTCACACCTTGTGTAATGTTGATTGTATCAACATATCTTTGATTTAAACTTTCTATAGGTCAAAAAGCATAATCTATAACTACAACTCAACAATTTTTTCACGACACCACAACCACGTAGCATTCTAAGAACTCTAATATCCAGATTAAACCAAAAAATATAATATTAGTTGTTGAGGAGTCTGAAAAATGCCGAAAGTGTTAATAAATCAAATATTCAGAATCCAAGAAACCTTAATGCTATCCACCTAAAACCTTAAAACAATAAAGATATGTGTCACCGCCTCTCTTATAAACCAAAGATTTCATTTTTATTAGTCAATTATAAGACTTTGCCAGTCACATTTAAAAGCTAAGAGAGTACTATAGTACCTAGTGAGACCCTACTCATTTTCATACCTGAGTGATATGTATAGAATAAATATCGTAAATTTGGGTCCAATTTTTTTTTCAAGTTTTTTTTATCAATTCATTTGAAAATTTTATATGAAGATACATATATGGTATGATGTTTGAAAACAAAACATGAATCCGAAGAACTTGTTGCAGATTGAACAAGAATGAGTTCTAATCTCTTATCAGTTCACACTCCTCCACCACTCCCCAACATCTCAAAAACAACCCCTTTATACCAAAGAATCTACATCCCAACCCATGTCTACACACACCCATCAGCTATCCTCCTAGAACTCTGCACTTCCATCAAAGAGCTTCATCAAATCCTCCCCCTCATCATCAAAAACGGTTTCTACAATGAACACTTGTTCCAAACAAAGCTCGTAAGCTTGTTCTGCAAATTCGGTAGCATGAATGAAGCATCTCGTGTGTTTGAGCCTGTGGAACAAAAGTTGGATGTTCTTTACCATACTATGCTTAAAGGGTATGCAAAAAACTCAACTTTATGTGATTGTGTAAAGTTTTACAATAGGATGCAGATTGATGAAGTTAAGCCTGTTGTTTATGATTTTACTTACTTGTTGCAATTGTGTGGGGAGAATTTGGATTATAAAAAGGGTAGAGAGATTCATGGGATGTTGATTGTTAATGGGTTTGAGTCGAATTTGTTTGCTATGACTTCTGTTGTTAATTTGTATGCTAAGTGTAGGAATATTGATGACGCGCGTAAGATGTTTGATAGAATGCCATCTAAGGATTTGGTTTCGTGGAATACGGTTGTTGCGGGGTATGCGCAGAATGGGTTTGCTAGGAAGGCTTTGTGGTTGGTTTCGGATATGCGGGAAGATGGTCAGAAGCCGGATTCGATTACTTTGGTTAGTGTTTTGCCGGCGGTGGCGGATATTAAGGGTTTGAGAATTGGAAGGTCGATTCATGGTTATGTTTTTAGATCGGGATTTGAAAATATGGTTAATGTTTCGACGGCGCTTTTGGATATGTACTTTAAGTGTGGGTTGGTAGTGACTGGGAGATTGGTTTTTCGGAGGATGAGTAGCAAGAATGTTGTTTCGTGGAATACTGTGATTGATGGTCTTGCGCAAAACGGAGAGTCTGAAGAGGCGTTCGCTACTTTTTTGAAGATGTTGGACGAAAAGGTGGAGCCTACGAATGTTAGTATGATGGGTGCTTTACATGCTTGCTCTAATTTAGGCGATCTTGAAAGAGGGAGGTTTGTTCATAGATTGTTGGATCAGATGAAATTTAGTTCTAATGTCTCGGTTATGAATTCTTTGATATCTATGTATTCGAAGTGTAAGAGAGTTGACATTGCAGCGTCGGTATTCGATAATTTGAAAGGGAAAACAAACGTCACATGGAATGCCATGATATTAGGTTATGCGCAGAATGGTTGCGTAAATGAAGCTTTGAATTTGTTCTGTACGATGCAATCCGAAGGCATTAAACCCGACTCCTTTACATTCGTGAGCGTGATCACTGCTATAGCAGACTTATCAGTTACTCGCCAGGCTAAGTGGATTCATGGACTTGCAATAAGAACCAATATGGACAAGAATGTATTTGTCGCCACTGCTCTTGTTGACATGTACGCAAAATGCGGAGCCATCGAAACTGCAAGAGAGCTTTTCGACACGATGCAAGAGCGACATGTGATAACATGGAATGCAATGATCGATGGATATGGCACACACGGACTTGGCAAAGCAGCTCTTGATCTCTTTGATGATATGCAGAAGGAAGATTCGATTAAGCCGAATGATATAACTTTTCTATCTGTTATTTCAGCATGTAGTCACTCAGGTTTTGTCGAAGAGGGTCTCTACTATTTCAAAACCATGAAGGAGCATTACGGCTTCGAGCCTTCAATGGATCACTACGGTGCCATGGTTGATCTTCTCGGTCGTGCCGGAAAGCTAGACGATGCTTGGAATTTTATTCACAAGATGCCTATTAAACCAGGGATTACCGTTTTAGGTGCAATGTTAGGTGCTTGTAAAATCCATAAAAACGTCGAATTGGGCGGAAAAGCCGCAGATATGCTATTCGAGTTGGATCCAGATGAGGGTGGTTATCATGTGCTGGTTGCAAACATGTACGCATCTGCTTCAATGTGGGACAAAGTGGCTAAAGTGAGAGCAGCCATGGAGAAAAAGGGTCTCCACAAAACTCCCGGCTGCAGTTTGGTCGAATGGAGAAACGAAGTTCACGCATTCTACTCAGGAAGTACAGATCATCCTCAATCAAAAAGAATCTACGCTTTTCTCGAGACTCTTGGAGACGAGATCAGGGCTGCTGGTTACGTGCCTGATACCAATTCAATTCACGACGTGGAAGAAGACGTGAAGGAGCAATTGCTTAGTAGCCATAGCGAAAGGCTTGCAATTGCATTCGGGCTTTTGAATACAAGACATGGTACAACAATACACATCAGGAAAAATCTAAGAGTTTGTGGTGATTGCCACGAGGCTACCAAGTACATTTCGCTCGTGACAGGAAGGGAAATTATAGTGCGCGACTTACAAAGGTTCCACCATTTTAAGAATGGAAGATGTTCTTGCGGGGATTACTGGTAAAATTATTGACGCCATTGTTATTTACTCGCATTGCATCTTGATTCATTATATGAAGATATTTCAAGAAAAATGCATTGTTTGGATCAAACCTTTAACCACATAATAGATCATTGTAGTGCCCTTCTGTTGAATCAGAGGCTTGTAACTGTATGATTCAGTTGTATAAAATTTTCAGGAAATATGCCTTTTTTATCCATAAGTTCTAATTCCATTGTCCATTAGTGGTAGAACTAATTGAAGTCATTCAAATTGATTGATAGAATACATAGAAAATAACACCAATTCAATATCATGTAAACTAAAAAAATTAAGATTGAATATGTAACAACACAAGTTAATAACATAAACAAAACAAAAATACACAAGCAAATCATTATCTTAATTCATTATCTTAGGAAGTTAGTTTTTATTTTTTTTATTTTAGCGAGTTGTTGTTTCCCTATTTCTATGCAATTATTTATTATCTTAGACATTTAAGTAAATGGAAAAAATATCTTAAATTCTCTAAAATTCTCTAAAATTCTCTAAGTGTAACTTTGATTCTTAGCCATCGAGTAGCATTCTTAAGCTGTTGCTCCTGGTGAGAATTGTGATTATTATCACATCAATCTCCCTAATAATCCAAATACATTTTTCATCAATTCACTACAAATCTATTTCAATTGGTATCAGAGTCTGATTCATAATTCAAAATCTTTCATAACAAACTATTATTTCTATAAAAAGTAAAAAGTAAGTAGGGTTTATCCACTAAAGTTTTAAAACAATCAATGTAAAAAGGTTTATAAATATAATCATTTAAAAACTGATTTTAATTTTATAAATATAAAGTATAATGCATGCATAATTTTTTACTTAACAATCATATATTGTAATCACGCGTTAAAACAATTCATGGAATCACATGTCATCATCTTATCTCGTTAAAATATTAATTTTAAAAATATATTTTTCATCTAGAGAAAGCAAAAAATATGATTATAATATTTGTGTAAAACTGATTCCACATATTAATATATATAAAATTATTTTTTAGTCGATAAGATCAAGGCATAACGATTATTTTTATAATATTTTCTAACGGTTTCCATGCGAAAATGAATTTATTTATATATCTGATTTTTTCCGTATTAAACGTATTAATGTATATAAAACTATTTTTTAGTCGATATGATCGAATCCTAATGATTATTTCTATAATATTTTCTAACAGTTTCCATGCAAAAATCAATTTAATTATATCCGTTCTTTTTTTTCGTAATTTGAAATTTTTTATAATGATTGATTTTTATAGGAAAAAAAACATATCTTAAATGTTTTGGTTGAAATGAAAAACAGAGAAAAGAATTCAAAGCCATGAAAGGAAACTAGCACAAAGATTTAATGCATGTTAATATTTTCCCTATAAATTCTTCTTCATTCTCAACACTTCACTTCACACCAACTCAACCCAAAGCCTCTCTCTTTTCACTTTTGAATTCAGTTGCCCATTTTCCATTTTCAGAGCTTTTTCACTTCAACCAACACAAGCCATTGATTCTTGTGTTGAAGTTGAAAGCTTTATTCTTTTTGTTGTTTTCAGATACCCTTTAACCAAAAGCTCTCACCTTTGTGTTGAATTTAGATACCCTTTATAGTATAGTTTTTCTACAATGGCTTCTACTCCAACCCCACCACCAAATCCTAGACCTGCTGAAAATCATAATCACAATCACCAAAATAGCCATAAACGCCATAGAAATGATTGGTCTTCCTCCTCTGGGAACTATTCCAACTCAAGGTTTGCATCATTAGCTCCTGCTATAGTTGCTGCACATGGTAGTGGAAGAGGTGTATATTCGTCTGCGCCGGGATCTTTATTGGATGGCAGGAGATCAAAGCTGGTTCCTGAGTTTTCTGGCAGGAAGTCCACCAGGTATGCTGCCAAGAGACATTCTGAAATGCCAAGGGCAGCACTTAATACACTGCCTCACAGCGAAGCTGCCAATGAGATTCTTACTTATCTCTACAATGCTGGTAACATTGTTACTAATATAGATAATGTTTTGATTTCAAATGAACATAGGCTATGGGAAGTTGAGGATTGTATTTATATGCTTAAAATTTTTGGTAATACTGGTCAGTTATTGTTAGCTGAGAAGTGTTATCAATTTATTATGAGTAAGACAAATGGGAGGGTTGCTAAAGGTAAGTTAACCAGTGCTATGGTTGGTACTCTTGGTAGGTTAGGGGAGATTGATCGCGCTATAGACTTGTTTGGAAAATCTAGGATTGAAGGTTATGGAATGACCGTGTATACGTTTTCGGCCATGATTAGTGCGTGTGGCCGAAATGGGTGCTTCCCTGATGCGGTATAATTATTCATGTCTATGTGTGGCTTGAGCCTTGTGCCCAATTTGGTTACGTACAATTCGATAATTGATGGGGGTGGGAAGGGGGAGGTGAGTTTTGATGTAGTTGTTAAGTATTATGATGAAATGCTAGCTGCTGGCATAATGCCGGACCGTCTTACTTATAATTCACTTCTTTCTGTTTGCGCCTCGAAAGGCATGTGGGTAATGGCTCAAAAGTTATTGAGAGAAATGGATGGTAGGCATATTGTTCGCGATGTGTTTATGTATAACACGTATTTGGACACACTATGTAAAGGCGGACAAATTGATTTAGCTAGAAGGGTATTCGAAGAGATGTCTTTCAAGTGCGTTTGGCCAACCATTGTGACGTATAGCATACTAATGGATGGCTATGCAAAGGCTAACCTCTTGGAAGATGCCCTACTTCTATACGAAGAAATGAAGCTTTGATCTGTTTGTCTTGATAGAGTGTCCTATAACACACTGGTCGGCATCTATACGAAGCTCGACAGGTTTGATGAAGCTGTCAATATATGCAGAGAGATGGACGGATGTGGAATTAAAACTGACGTCGTTACATACAACGCTCTGTTGGCCGGGTATGGCAGGCATGGTATGTATGCTGAAGTTAGAAGACTGTTTGAAGAGATGAAGGCTCGGAACATATATCCCAATACACTTACTCTACAATGATCGATGTGTACACTAAAGGTGAAATGTTTCAGGAAGCGATGAATGTTTATAGAGTTCAAGATGGCAAGATTGGAAGTTGATGTTGTCTTTTATACTGCAATCGTAGACGCACTATGCAAAAACGGTTTAGTCGAGTCTTCTATTATGTTGAACATTGCAATGATTGAGAACGGAATCAAGCCAAATGTGGTCACATTCAGTTCCATAATAGATGCATGTCAACAGTTGCCAGCATTGGAGTATGGAGTTAATGGTTCTTCGCAAGCCATTGAGTATCCAAACGAACAATCATCTACAATGCTTATTGGTGGTGCTTTTCAGAATAAGCCGGGGGAGGACCGGATCTTGGAGATGTTTCAGCAACTTGCTTCTGAAAAAGCTGGTCATGTAAAGAAGCTTAGGAGGGGACGACAAGACCTACACTGCATATTTTGGCTCTTCCAAAAAATGCATGAGCTGCACATTAAACCAAATGTCGTCACATTTTCAGCCATTTTGAATGCGTGCAGGTAAAATACTTTGAACTTTGTTATTTTTGTTATCTTGAATTATATATAACTAATCTCAAACTATATAATTTGATCGATTTTGATGCAGTCGCTGCAATTCATATGATGATGCTGCAAAGCTGTTAGACACGCTGCCCTTGTTTGACAGCCAGGTGTATGAAGTAACCCATGGACTGTTGATGGGTTATAGGGAACAAGTATGGTTTACTGCTCAGACTCTATTCAATGAACTCATGCGGATGGTTCTTCAACTGCGCCCGCGTTTTATAACGCCCTCACAGATATGTTGTGGCACTTTGGTCAGGTATTAAATTTTGCTAGTTTTGTAAGAAATTCACTCTTTTTTTTCTCTTCATAATAATAAAACTGATTTTGATCACAGAGACGCGGAGCTCAAATGGTTGTAATTGAAGGGAAAAACCGAAATGTGTGGAAAGGAGAATGGTCAATTTCTTGCTTGGATCTGCATCTGATGTCTCGTGGTGCTGGCTGTGCTATGGTTCATGATTGGTTGCTCAATATGCAAAGGACTTTATTTCAAGGCTCTGAACTGCCTAAGATTGTGAAGTAAGGATCTTTTTCATCTAAATATTTGATTGGAATAATGAGAAGATTAAAGTTCTAATCATAATTTTAATATATTTTGCAGCATATTAACTGGTTGGGGAAAACACAGCAAAGTGATGGGTGATGGAACTTTGAAAAGAGCTATTGAAGCACTTCTTAACGGAATGGGATCGCCTTTTAGATTCGCTGAGAATAATATGGGAAGACTTACATCTTCCGGAGATTCGGTCGCCACATGGCCGAGACAACCTGGCGTTATCAATATGCTCGTTCTCTACGATGTCCTTAATCATTCTCAACCTGCTGGTCCATCACATGGTTATCCCACTTCTGCCTATCAGATTGATAGAAGCTATGTAGCACCGGTGTCCATAACGATTTGGCCGAGAACCTTCACCACAAATGACGAGTCTTTGGCGAAAATCATGGTGCGCTAAACATAATCAGAATTGGTGATTCCGTTGAACAAGTCCAATTCTAATAAGTGAAACTACTAACTTCTCTACCGTTAGCATAAGTTGATGATTGTTTCTATCTTCAATTGTTGCTTCTTCATCTCTTGAAACAATGTGTTTGTCCAAAATATGTGTTAAATTATCAGGAAATGAAGTTGCAACAAAGTTATGCATATTTTGATCGTCTCAAAACATTTCATCTGTTGGTATTTTTCCGGTAAGCATTTCCAATATAACTATCCCAAAGCTATACATGTCGCCGTATGTAGAAACTTTAGAATCCATTTCATACTCTAAAGATATTACAAAATTGTTAATACTCTCCAACTTATAAATTATCAAGTCTATAGAAAAGAAAAAAGAATGATTCGAAAGTTTAGAGAGTTTAGAATATACCTGGAGGAGTATATCGAATTGTCCGTTTTATTTCGATTGTACTAGTTTCCTTACGAGAGGTAACATCAACGGACAATGACGAGACTAGTCTTGCTATCCCAAAGTCATTCACATGTGCAGCCATGTCATTGTCAAGAAGGATATTGTTTGACTTTAGTCGGAAGGGAGTCTCCTTGGTGGATGAGTGAGCTGTTGTTCGGTAGGTCCAGAGTATATTATATAGCTCATCGATCCATTTCTTTTTGGTTTCGTCCAACCTTTGTCCGAGGACTCGTAGGATCACCTTGTTTGCAGACTCGGCTTGCACGTTTTTGTGTGGGTGCTCGACGGACGCGAAGTGTTGGATGGTGCCCAACTTGGTAACGAACTCCTGGAAATTGTTGTCCGTGAATTGTGTCCAGTTGCTGGTGACAATTGCTTGGAAATGCCAAATCGGGCGAGGATGTTCCTTTTGTAGAAACGGAGAATGTTTTGTACGGTTATTTTGGCCAATGCATCTGCTTCTATCCACTTGGTGAAATAATCCACGACCACTATTAGATATTTGTTTTGGTTCGATCCTACCACGAATGGTCCAAGGATATCCAGGCCCCACCATGCAAAGGACCAGAGGGACGAGACAGACTTGAGCTTGTTCAGAGGTGCTAAGTGCATGTCCCCGTGGCGTTGGCATTTGTCACACTTCTTTATGTGCTCTTTGGCATCGTGTTGCATGGAGGGCTAGTAGTATCCTGTTCATAATGCTTTTCTGGCCAGGATCTTCTGCCCAAGTGTTGGCCGTTGATTCCTTCGTGGATTTCACGCAGGATATGGGCTACTTTGTTTTCTTCGACACATTTGAGGAGGAGGATGGAGAGTCCCCTTCTGTATAGTTTATCTTCGACCAAAACGTAGGAGCCGGCCCTTCGCCTGACTTTGTTGACCTATTTCTGATCGATTGGTAATTCTCCTTTTGTGAGGTAATTGAACACTAGAGTCATCCAATATTTATTGTCTCCTATGGCGTATATGTCTAGAGTCGATGGGGGTTTTTCGATGCTCGGTCGAGGAAGTATTTCATGTATTACCGATTTATTTCCCCCTTTCTTCTTCGTGCTCGCTAGCTTCGACAGGATATCTGCTCGGGTGTTGGGTTTGCGGGGAACATGTTGTACGTCTACAGACTCAAATTTCTTCATTCTTTCTTGGACCAAGGTCCAATACTCAGTGAGATGGTCATTTTTTACATGATATTCTCCACGTACCTGAGATGCAACGAGCTGAGAGTCTGAAGATCTTCACTTCTTCAGCCCCTAGATCTTCGGCCAGGTGCAGCCCCGCTAGAAATACTTCGTATTCGCCTTGGTTGTTCGAGGTCGAGAAAGACAACGTGAGAGAGACTTTGATCAAAATTCATTCTTTGTTTTACAATATAATGCTTGCTCCGCTCCCTGTTAAACTAGAAGCTCTGTCGACAAAGATGAAGGGTGAGAAAACACTTAGAAGGGGGGGTTGAATAAGTTTTTCCTTTTCTTTTTCTTACTAGCTCGACAATAATGGAAAGACACAGTTATTTTTATCCTGGTTCGTTTGAACTCAAACTACTCCAGTCCACCCGCCAAGGTGATTTCTCCTTTCTCAATAAGGACTTAATTCACTATAATCAAACAGATTACAATCACACAACCAAACTGTTGTGACTAACAATTCAAAGCACAAGTAAACTTACAAGTGACTAACACCACTAAGACTCAAACTAGTCCTAGCCTTCTTGAAAAATCTGACCAAACTTGGTCTCTCAAGGAACAAATACAAGAATTAAATCTTTACAACAGTGAAACAAAATACTTCTTAGAAAGCTATATCACAAACTGTGAGCTTTCACTAAGATGAGTTTTGCATAAAGTGTTTGTAAAATAATTTGTGAGCAGCATAATATTTTCATGTAGTTGGGTAGTTGGCTTGCAATAAATGATCTTCTATTTATAACATGAAGAAAACGATCGTTGCTGCCTTCAAAAGTGTGGAGCAATTAATGTTTGCGTGTTTGCTTGCAATGTTGCTTTTTCCAATGAACTAGCATAGACACTTGAGTGCTTTTAGCCGTCTTTGCATTAAATGAGCAAACGACACTTGTCAGAGCATGTTTCCTAAAACTTGACAAGATTTGTTAGCTTATTTATTCTATCATAACTAGCTTCACATCTTGCTTTAGAATATGCTTGCAAATAACTTCTTATCAGCGCTTGCTTGCAGAATACTTCTTGTTGTACTCCAAAATTTATTCTCTCATTTTTCAAGGCTTTTCTCACAAGGATTCTCAAGGTTCAATCTTGCACAAAGTACATTGGAATTTTCCAGTACCAAGATTAAAAGGAAACTGTCAAAAAGGGGGGAAAACAGATAAAATTAATATTTTGACAAATTTGGATAAAAACAAGTGTTTTTCGATTCAGCTCCTTCGATTGGCCTTTTGGCCTCTTTTGATGCAAGTTTGGTTTGCATCCTTCGACTGGGCGTGGGCCTTTGGCACGTTGGCTTGGATTCACAAGGCACAAAGCCTCCTATGGTCTCCTTCGATTCCAAGGCAAAAATCTCCCTTTTGGCATCCTTCGATTTGCAATTTTTGCCTCCTATATGCCTCTTTCAAATCTGGACATTTTGGCCTCGTGCATGCACCTTTCGTTTGGGCATGTGGATTCCCTTCATGCAAGCTTCATTTGAACAAAAATATTTTGCATGTTGGCATTAAGTCACAAGGCAGGGACCCCCTGTGTACACTCTTTCATTTGGCCACTTGGAACTTTGGGCAGGCAAGCCTTTGACTGGACAGAACCACCTTCACAAGGTTTCCTTACATCATGTTACCCTTCAAATCAGCATCCTTCGAATCTAACTCTGGGCATCCCATTTGAAGGATTTACAAGCCCACATTAAGGCAGGTTTTTGGTGACCCATCCAAGGGTCACACTTTTGGCTCCTTCAAAGGATGCCCAAAAGTGACTCAATCGAAAGGCACTTGTTAGAGGAAAATCAAATAGTATTGCTTGGAGAAGAGTCTGGTCGAAGAAGGATCAAAATGAAAAGATGATATTCAAATATGCTTGCTGCCAAGTTCAGGTATGGTACATTGGCCAAGACTGCTGTACATCAGTCCTGAAACACCGCCCCCTTCTTACACCAAAATAGCATACAAGGCACTGTGTCTCGAAAACTACAAGGAACATGTTACTAAATTTGTTCAAACCTTTTGTTTTCCCTCCAAAAGTTTCAGGCAGCCTTGCCTATATATAAGAGGCCCTGTGATACGGTGGCAGAACCAGACTGTTTTAAGAAAATGCTGGTTTGTGTTTTGCATTTGTGTTTGCAAAATATCGCGGTAAGCAAGAGTCGCCACCGACTTTTATTTTATCCAACTGGAAAAGAAAAAAGCACAGAAAAATTCCTTTTTCGAGATTTTGAATACGGGGAGTAGATTATAGAAAGGGAAGGTATTAGCACCCTTTCTATCCATATTTTTCTACGGGCTCTTAGGTACTTGCTCATCATTTTAAAAATTGTTTTCGTGTTTGAAATTTTTTTATTTTACTTAGATTTAACCCTTGCTTCTGCCTTCAAGAGTGTTACGAATTCGTTTTGAAAACTTTGTTTGAAAAAGTGTAAGTGTGAAAAAAGTTCGTTTTGAGCAAGTACCTACTAGCATCTACCTACTCGAAAAAAGAATGTTTCTGTTCTTGTTTCCTTTAGACAACGTTATCCCACTATTAGTGAGTATGTAGCACCGTCGTTGGAGTTGTAAGGGTCAATTCGACAGGGACGTACGGCCACTAAAGCAATGTTAGGACGTCTTAGTAATAACTCTAATGTCTTAAGATCATATTCGAGGCAACATTTCCGAGGAAACATTTCCGAACGGGACATTTGATCTTTGTTTAGACAAAAGAGCGACCACTAAAATACCCTATACTTATGGTCGTTTACCGAAGGCAACCGAAGTGGGAGTATAGCCTAGGAGTGCGCATGTGCGAGTGATTCAATTTCAAGTTATTATCTTTGCACATTTAGGGTTTTCTAACTGTTTTAAAATTAACATACATTCTTGTCATGCAACCCTATTATCATACATCTAACAGTTAATATTTGCGAAAATTGAAATGCGGAAAATAAAGCTACGCTAATACAAGGCTTCGCGTGGGGAATTAATTACATAGCCAAAGACCCGTAAAAATGATAAATAAACGAGAAAGAGTCCTAATTAATCTATTACATCTCATGAGCAATTACATCAATATTGCAAAAATAAATAAACGCGCGACGAATAGAGAACGAAAGGAAATTAGGGTTTTGACCCCGTCTAAACTAATTAAAGGAAAAATCATTTTTTTGGTTGTTTTTGATTGTTTTAAGAAAATAAGGTTTTAATTTAAATATGTACAAACCTAATTACTAATTAATTAATATTAAGAAAATTAATTACATTTGACTTATTTTTGTATTTTGGTTATTTTGAGAAAAGAAAATATAAATTAACTTAAGCGAAAAACCCTAATTTCTAGTTTGTTTTAATTTATTTACAAAGACAAATTAAAGTTATCCTATAATTAAGA